GTTCTCTTCATGCTTTAGCAATGTGAATGAGGTTTAAATGGCAATGCTTTGTCTACCTGTGTAAGCAAACTGCAATATTCCCTGGGTAGGTGTGTGTTGAAATGGATAAGATCAGCAATTCAAACACAGACTCTGAAGAGGGACGTCTGAGGCACCACAGCTCTGATTTCAGCTGCAGCACGTAGGTAACTGGGGTTCATATTTAGGATGAATATGGCAAGTAACTGAGGTTCATATTTATGATCCTCCCCCAGCTTAGGGGTCTCAGACTGAGAGATACAAAGATTTCAGAGTTGGTAGGCAATGCCAGCTGGGAACAAACCTCTGGAAAACAACTTTAATATGTCCTATTTGTCCTCAAAGACACCAGGAAGGAGTTGTCACTTTATAAAACTCTACCCTGAACTATCCCCAGTATGTATCAGTCCATTCCCCAGTGTGTTAAAGGAGCACAGTAAGTTTAAGGCTCAAATATGTGTTTCAAAGGGGACTTCAAGGCTTTGGGGCTGAGCATGCTGTCAAAGCAAAATTTATGCCGAAGACTAAAAGCACAGGTAAGGTTCAGTAATGACCACTTCTGCTGATCAGTGGAGCATGATTGCAGCTGACTGCAAGGGACTAATACAAACCCTCACCAAGATAATCCTCAGGACTCTGAGTGAGATGTGCAAAGGCCAGAGGCTAACAATAGGCAGAAGAATCAAAACAGGAATATTGAGGACTCGCTTGGCACACCTGAGCCCCCTTGAACAAGCAATGCTTACCATCAAAGACCTCTAACATTGCTGAACCAGTTATCCAAGGGATCCCAGATATAGCATAGCACTGTTTGAAGCCATCATGAAGCAATAGCTGTCCAAGAGGACAGCTGTGTCTAAAGAACACAATGGCACGGTGGAATTAGAGCCTTCCACAGAGCTATCACTGCAAGAGACACAGTGCTGTCCATGATGTCTCAGCAAAACACCTCCTGACTCCTGCAGCCTTTCAGTCAGCAATATCTACTGGAAAGGATGCAAAAATGAATGCCTTGTGTAGCAGCAAATGTGCAAACCAGCCTTTCCACTAGTGAAAAAGGGCACTGATTAATGAGCTGGCACACACAGGCAAACCTTTTATTCCATCAACCCTCCAGGTTGGCTTAAAGCCCCAGAATTTTGGAAATCATGATTGCTCCTAGGGGACTATCTCTGTCTGGTTAGTTTATTTGTTTGCATGTACATTCGGTAACTAAGGTCAAAAGTTTTACAGCAGCAACTGCCTCAGAACTGTTACTTGGCTTTGATTTTTTAGCTATGGCACTGAGACTTTTATGCAATACTGTTAATAATAGAAATGCACTTTGTTTTAGTTTTAACTAATTACAGATTTGCCTGATGCAGTATTTCATGTGGGTAAAAGGTAATTGTTATGGCCTTATAAAATCCGAGGATTAAATTTTGCCTTTAAATTCATAGGTATCACTGACGATGCAGAGGATTCAGTGATGTCAGAATTAATTTCAATTATGGTTTAAGCCCTAATGAGATTAGGTAAAATGCTTGATGCTGAATCATAGTGCCACAAACACACTCTACAACTTCAGAAATGACTGCCTGGACCTGATCTGAATAAATATCAGAGTAGCACAGTGGAGTTCACACAGAGACAGCTGATTCCAAGCTACAAAATCCAAATCACTTCATCTGACCAGTGTGAGCACTGTGCAGCCCAGCACCCAAGCCTGTACTTACACACTCAACATCACTCTTATTCCACCCAATTTCAAGACCCTTACAGAGCATTTGAGACAAAGCACAAAAGTGTTTTGTTCATGTAAATTTTAAAGAAACATCTGACCATGACATTTCAGTATCTTTTGATTTTCTAAAGCAAGCATTTGGAAGTCGATACAATTATTTAATATTATCATTCCCTTTAGTCTTAGTATGCATACATAGGGCAAATAATGTCTGTGAAATCTGGGAGCAGAACTGATGTCACCTATTTGTGTGACCTGTTACAAATATTAAATAGCAGCAACAAAAGTGCCTTGATAAATAAATCAAGTAAATAAATGGAAGCAGCGAACTCCACTTGACATTTGGTGGCAAATGTTCACAAATAACTCTAAGAAATAACATATGCATGAAGGGGGAGTCTCACGAATAGAAACAAAACTAAACTCACTGTGCAAAGGATTTGCAGTTTATATTGCAGACTAACTGGTGTGTAGCTTTATTTAAAAGTTCCATCCCGAAGATGAGAGGGAGAAAAGTTCTCGTAAACACAGAAGAAAACAGACATTTTCACCTTTAATATAAACTGCAAAAAGAAGCAACACCACAAGCATCCAGCCCACGGGACCTCCCTGGGCACGATGCCATCACCACCATTGCTTTCCATTATCAGCGAACCTTCGCAAGAATTATGATTTTCAGGTTCCATTTTGAACTCCCGTTCATCAGACTGTATAAACTTGTCCTGTTCCATTTTCTTCAAACTGCAATTTGGCAGAGGAGTGCTGGTGGGTGGGGAACTTTTGGAAAGATTATTATTTTTAAAATTCGGTCTTTTCAAGCTGTTCTAAATACAGCAGTGGGGAATATGCCCTGAGGAGCAGTGCTGTTGCACGTCTCTCAGGGGAGGGGTATTGACAATTAGATATTTGTCAGTGTCTTATTCGGGGCAAGAGGAAAACAAGCATTTGTGTTTCAGGCTAATTCATGGAAGGCCTCTGGCCCAGCAGCAATGATGAGTTCAGGGTGATGCTGTGGGGCCAGGAGGCCGGGAAGTTGTCCATCAAGGGCTCCCAAGGGTGGCCTGCAGTCCTCTTGCAACACACAGAGCTTTTGTGTGCAGCCTGAGCAGGATCTGGGGGTTGTGGCTGTCCTCTGCAGAACCAGCTGATTGTCCAGGCTGTAGTTACTGTAGGGTCTCCTCTAGCATTTCGGGATGGGGTGAATGTCTGGTCACTCAGGATCTGTCAGCCATTGGAAGCCTGGACCAGCCTGCCCCTCCACAGCACTCAGGCACTTTGGCAAGTCTCATGGCTGTGCCTTTCAGGCCCTACTTCTCCAACCCTTCCCATTACTCCACACGACAGCAAGAATCCTCTGCAAGAGCTGGCCCACGAGTGCAATGTTTCCAGAACCAAGAGGAACTTCTGCTTTCAAAGGCAGTAGAAGCAGTACACATCCCAGCTCGTGGTGTTAGAGTTGAGCATAGACAGAGTAACAAACTCCTGCTCCAACCAGGGGCCAAAGTGATGGACAGACTGAATCTTGGAGATGAGTTTCAGAGGCAATATTAGCAGTTAAATCTAAGAGATTTAACCAAGCAGCAACTAAGAGATAACCAGCAACAGAGTTGAAGCAGTCTAACCACCAATTTGCAATGCTAATGCCCTGCTATAATCTTTCTGAAAGCTCACAACAGCTACCTGTCCTCACACACCAGCACATCATCTGCCTTCTCCACCTCAGAATCCCAGAAACCCCAAACACAGTCTGCCTAGAAGGAGCTCAGGACTGTGGTCTAGAAAGAGCGACCTTCACTTTCAGATCTCGACTCATTCACAAATTCCATTTCTTCTTTTTAATCCTTTTATGCCTGCCTGCACCAACAGTGCCCAGGAAGATGCTACAGATAATGAAAAAAGCAGGTAAAGTGTTTGCTGGGGGGCTGAGGGGACCAACTCAGGGCAAGAGTTGCTTTTGTGAAGAGCTGAATGCACATACTTGGAGACCTCAATGTTGTCTGAACACTGAAGGGTGGTACAATTATTTTGGCCTGGTGGAAATGTTCCAGGACAACTGGAGAAAATGGCCTTTGGATCAGGCTCTTATCCCTTAGTTTCCACACTTGCCTGCTTGTAAAGCCCCGGTGCTCACTCAGCCCCAGCTCAGAAAGATGACAGAGATCAAGAGCTAACAACAAAACAGGAGCTTGAAATTCAGGGCAGGATTTTGTAAAACTCAATTTCCAATTATTTTAAAGAATAGTGTATAAATGGATGTTGCTGTAAACCTGGGCTGATTTGTGTTGGCCTGTGGGGAGCTCCTAATGGACACTATACACAGTAAGGTCCCTTCCTCCATCCACCTAAAAAAGAGATTCAAAGGATGCACAAATCGAAATGCTGGAAGTGATCCTTTCAGCCCTGAGAAAAAGTAACCACCTTCACACCCGCTAGTAAGTTACTGGATTCAGCATGTTTGCTCATGTGCATCTGCTGGACTGATTTATTTGGGTACCATTTCATAGTACATTCAATTTACTATTTACACTGCAAATATGACACAATTACCTAACAAGAATATGTAAAAAAGATAGGATATGACATGCAGCTGTATCTATATCTCTGTCTGCATTTCTTAGAAACTAATGCAACTACAAAGCCATTTTGATGAAGACGCTGCTGCCAACTCCTTTACACAAGGAGAAGTTGCTGGCAGGCTCTTATCTCCTCCATCAGAAGAGCGTTCCTGGAAGCAGGACAGTCTGTGGCCAGAGATAACACGTCCTGGAATCTCCTGCACCTGCTGGGCTGCAGCATCTGCCCTCCTGGCCACGTGTGAGTTGCGGTGACAGCAGTCAGTAATCCCTGTCCCTGCACAGACCCTGCAGGGCAGGAGTGGTGGTGGCTGTGGTGGTTTCCATCTGCTCGAGCAGCATGAGACCCCTGATAAACCTGGTTTGGAAAGGGATGCTTTTCAGTCCCTTGCCCTGGAAAGGTGTTCATATAAACCCTGCAAGGAGGAGGTAACTTCTAATACGCAAAACAAACAGTACCTACAGGCCATAGCTGTTATTCTGAGGGGACAGGTTTTATGCTGATTAGTGACAATCATTCCTGTTTCAAATCACTGACAATCTTCTGCTGTGTTACATTCTTATTGGGAACCAGCACTAGACGTGATTTATTTTACAATACTCAGAGAGTAGCTGTTTCAATCATAGGGAAAATGTATCTTTTATGTCCATTCCCACTGTCCATCTTTCCTACACTGTTTCTAGCACACAGATGGCACAAGTCTTTCTCAGCAGCTGCTTGGATCACCAAATTTTAGCTGAAGGAATCAGTGCTTTTAGTATATCATTGTCCAGGATGGTAAATGTCACATAAAATGTGCCATAATACACATGGCTCACCACCAGTTGCTCTTACCCACCCTACTTCATTTGAATTACAGTGAACTCAGCACCCCTGCCTTGGAGATCTTGCAGATTAAGCCCAACTATATGACTCCCACTGTAAGCTCAGCTTTCAACCTGGCCAAAAGTTGGTAAGGTGGTAAACAGGAGACATAAGGCAAGTAGATATAGTTTTGTATTGCTGTTCCTAGTCACTGTCAGCACCCAGAGAAGAGGTGACCGGCACAAGGCTGATTTAAAAGCCAGTTTTCAAAAGGTTGTGTCATGATTTCTTTAAATCCGGGCAAAAATAAATCAACCCCTGAATTACACTTCTGTTCAGCTCCGAGGGCTGCCACCCTGCTGTTCTAGCTATGTGGAAACTCAGGGCTCTCCTTCTGTTCTAATATTTTATTTTCTGCGTCCTTGTTTTATTTTTAACAGCTTACAACAGAAAAAAAATGTGTTATCGCCTGACTGTCTAAAGCAAATAGTACATTGTGGTTTTGGGCTTGGGCACTTGAACGTGTAACTTCCCAGCAACAAGTACTGTTCTCTCCGTAGGGCACTTCTGGTAACTCATCTCTCCTAGTGAGAAGTAAGGAAAACTGTCACCTAGCGAGCAAAACAGCGAGTTCTTGCAGCCCTCCCAGCTGAGAAAAAGCAGAGGAACGACAGCAGGCTGCAATTATTATCCGAGACATAATGCTGCCCAGAGAGCAGCAGGCCTCGCTGATTAACACCAGCACTGGGCCTTGGACAACTGGGACATGGTCTGACCTGCTAGAGGCTACTGTGCTTCCCCAGCCAAGTCATTTCACTTTTCTGCACTTGGATTTCCCACTCTGTGAAAACGAGTGTGCTGTGGTTTATTTTTAAAGCATTTCAGCAACTGACATACTGTACCTCAAACTCCTTAAATGGTTACATCATTTTCACTGCTGTGAAAAGTTGACTAAAACAGCATTTCAAAATCCCTCTCTATGTATTGTACTTACTGTTCGCAAGTCTGAGTGTGGTTTGACTTCTGGCATCCGCAGTTTGGTCTGCTGGGGTTGTTTGACTTCAGTCAGCAATTGTTAATGAACGTGGGCCTTCTATAGATTTGAAAGGGTTGCATAATCTATGGAAATATAACCACTGCATCTTTAAACACTGGTCTGTACTCCATTTGTGTAGGTCCTGTTTATAAGTGGCTACTCCTTTGAGAATACTAAGAACCTGTGAAAGTTAACAAGTGCCTTTTTGAGGTGCCCCGCTAATTTGGGTCTCTTAAGAGAAAATTTCGAATCCAGATTGATGAGGAATATCCATGTAAAATGTCAAAAATCCAAATAAAACATTTTCAAGAAAAAATGTGCTTTCTGTCCTCGTGATAGACACCATATAGCCATGCTCAGCCCTTGGGTTATTTGTTCATTATTGCCAATTTAGTCAGAAGCTGACAGGCCTCGTTTTGTCACCAAAAAAAAATGACCAGAACCTGGCAAATTGTTTTGGTGACAGAACTATCTTCTGCATGATTTGTCCTGGCAATAGCTTGGGTTTTCTTAATTGCGTTTGACCTAAACTACCTTAAAGTTAGAAACTCATCAAGTAAACCTGGTTTGTCTCTTCTCAGCTTTGCCATGGTTCCTCAGGGTGCTGTTGCACCCAGCCAGCCATCGAGCTGTGGAGCAGCCGAGGCCAGCGGTCACGGGCTGTGAGGAGAGATGACAGGGGGGAGGAGGAAGAGATTGTTACAACACACATACAGAGAAAAAAAATGGCCAGGACTCAATTTAACTCAGCTCTGGTGAAGTGAGCCCAGACTTACCAGAAGCTGAGAACTGTCACAAAACTACCCTGAACACACTTTAACAAGCAAAAGTCATCAGGACGTTCAGTAGTCACAACGCTGAGACAGCTCCCACAGGCAGGTACACTCACCATGCAGGGCAAAAACGATTCATGTAATTCTGAGTGCTGATAAAGACATTATAAAACCACCTTGCTGCGATAATAAGGAATCTTTATACCCCTGGAACAAAGCAATCTAATTCTTCAGCATGATTAACATCATTGATTATTCATGCAGTCTCCTGAAGAAAGGCCAGGTGGTTTATTCACTCGGTTTGGATCTCTGATTTTGAGCTTTAAAAAGTCTGTCCCCCTAGTAAATGAACCAAATAATCCATGCTATTAGCAATACAGTAATGCTACTAGGAGGTGAGCAGGAGAATAACCTCATCCAGTGCAAGTGGATGATGCTGGGAAGTCCAACACAGTACAAAGGTGGTACACAGTTTCCCTCAAAGGAAGCATTATGCTAATGCAGCTGAATTCCCTGGAACTCAAGTCAAACATCAGTCATTCTTCGTCATCTCCTGTTCCCTTCTCCTGCCTGGGACCTTTGACTTTAAATGAAGGGTCATTGGCCTGTATCCTAAAGGCAGATTGCTCTTAATGTCAGTAGTGTAGGATAAACATCTGCTATGTAGACCCCACTAAAATGGGGCACAACCTGCCCTGTGCAAAGCCATTCCCCATACGAGGGTTTATTACTCCAGCTCTAAACCAGCAGTGAAGAAGTTTCAATCACTGAAAAAAAGTTTACTAATCACTATTTCCAACCATTCTGTAACTGAGCAGTTTTCTTGCTGCACCAGCTGTAGTGCAGCTTATCTTTCAGCACTATTTCCTGCTCTACCCTTCACCACCACATCTGGAGTCATGATTTTTTCTCTACTGTAATTGATGTAATCCTACCGTTGTCTAAGATGCTGATTTCAAATGTAGCACCAGAGATATAGCAACAAATTTGCAGTAAAATGTGAAAATAAAGGAACTGCAAAGAGTTCCTTGGAAGTATTATATGAAAGTAATAACAAAAAAGTGGATCCTTCTGTTAAACTTAAAAGCTAGCATTTAAAATCTGTATTATTTCTATTATTTGCATACTTCTGTTACTGAAATCAGAACAGTGTCTTCCAGTAAAATCTGGTCAACCAAATGACTCATATGATTTCTGAAGTGACCATGGATTGCCTCCGAGCTGCATGCACTCACAGGAGTTCTCGTGTCCAGGGGAGGACAAGAGGAAAAGGGGAACTGAAAACGGCTGACTGTAAAGATGGCTGTGCACCCCACTTCCTTATTCATACCAAAATAAAAGAGAAAACATCATTAGCCATTTTAAAATGTAACCCCTGGGCCTGGGAGCACCAGCAGGCGTGCAGAGGAGAGCATGCTCTTCATTCATGCCCGTCCTGCGTGCTGGATTCACACCACACACACGCAATGGGACTTCTGCATTCCAGCCTTGCCCTGCACACATCCCCCCTCTGCAGGAGCTGACACTGGGTGTCCTTTACTCAGCCACTCTGAGGCTCCCCACTACCCTGTTTATGTGCAATCACTATCTGCCTTTTTGCCAAGCCTAGGGAAAATGGAAGCAAATAGGAAAACATACCTGTGCTCTGAAAAATCCAGGAAAACGTTTTCAGGTGGTATCTGGCTCGGCTCTAGTGCTGGTGCTCAGCCTTGAACACCTGACCAAAACCTGGTTTTTGGGCATGGGAGAGCTTGCTCATTGCAAGCTCTGGCAGGGAGAGCAAACAGAAGAGGGGTCACCCCAATCTCTCTCCATTTCCAAGGACCTTGGAGCTCACTGCTTCTTAGCGAGGGCCACTGCTCAGGGCCGTCTTACAGGTCCAAAGTTCCAGCTCCAAAAATAAAAGAATGTAAGAATAGCATTGATTGAGCAATGAGTAAGTGAAACTGTTTTTAAGCACAGACAGGGAGTGACCAAGAGAAACAGTGAACTTGGAAAGGATAAAGTTTGTGCAGAGGAAATCCTACAGAAACTGCAGTGGAGGGGGGAACACTTAGAACCGCTGGAAACCCTTGCCTTCAGCAGGTAGAACAACATTTGTTTTAGGAGAGTAGGGATTTGAAGGGTGATGTGCACTGCTCCCAGCTGTGACAAGGAGAGAGATCACTAAAGCAAACACTACAGAGGACTGGCTTCTGTGCAAATCCTGCTCTCCATGTGTTTTTTCCTGTAGGGCAGAATCTACTGACTTCATTAGAACTGCTACATTACGAATGACAGTAGATCTAAACCCAGAGAAGAAAAATACTGTGTTCAGAGTTTTATTCTCTGCATTTTCAATACAGATTTCCATTCTCGCTCTTTTGAATGCCAGTGAATACAATAATGCTTGAAAGAGCATGACTTTGCTTGTTCATCCTACACAGCCAAAGTTTCCTTCCTGCAGAGTTTGAGCAATTAATACAATCAGCCAAATCCTCCGTGGGAGGTGAGGGTCAACACGAAACATCTAATTTCCTGACAAACAATGTTTTCCCTTTATGAAATTCTAGAAGAAAAGTTATGGAAAAAAAATTTAGGCCACGCCACAAATCCTGCATGGGAAGAATGACCCAAAGACTAGTTTGCCTTCTTCCCAAAACATAGCCTGGAGTAGGACTTCTCACATGTGCACCCTGGGGAGCTGAGCTGTCAGAGGACAGTACTACCATGAACAGGGCTAGAAATACAGGTGTTACTTTTCCTATATCTCTCAGTCCTGTCCTGCAGCTGAAGATCTTTCCATGCCACTCTACATTTACAGGGGGGAGCAATAAGCAGCCAAAAATAATGCCCACACTGAGGCACAGAGCAGAAGAAAATATAGAACCATAATAATGGAAGCTTTAAGCCGTGAGAAAATCAGAATTGAATTACTTGTGTCTTCCAGAGAAGGAAAAAGGTGCTTAAAATCCACCTGTTAAGGACACTTGAGGCCACACAGGCTTTCTCTTCCTGACCTTACTTAACCTCAACGCTTTCATCGTCTTGCTCAACCCTGCAATTGCCTATTGTAATAAGGGGCAAAACAAACTCCTCTTCAGAGCTAAAGTCATGCAGAGGAAAATTATAGCTTCATTCCTTTGGAAAAACACAAGCAGATTGTTATCTGATCATGAACAACACCGTGAGCATGAAGGATTGGACTGAACTGTTTCCCCTGCCACCTCACCATTCTGCACTGCACAGCCCTACATCTGCAGGATGTTTTTTGTAGATGTTTGTAGTCTTTTGGAAGGGGCAGCAAGCACAGCTAGAGCAGGTCAGGGCTGAAGCACAGAACCACATCACAGCTGGGACTGAAAAGCATCAACCACTCACAAAGTCACACCGGTCTCATTAAAATGAGTTTAAAGCAATTCGGTGACGGCTTAAAATTCACCCAACGTGATCTGCTGTGGTACCCAACTGGATTCAGATTCATTGATTTGGGCTGTACTGAGTGAAGGGTGTCTATGCTGGGACAGAGAAAAGAGAAGGGTGTTACATCCATGCAACAAATTGGACTTTTGAGTTTGACTTGAATGAGGATCTTATGCACTCAAAGAGGTTTTGTTTCCCTTCTCAGCCTCCTTCCTCTGCCTCACCTACCACAACATCTCAGGCTGGGCAAAGGGGGCTCTGATTTGGGAGCACAGTATCCTCTCCCATACAGGTGCAGATTATTGATACACTCCTTTGGAGAAGGTGGGCAAAGGAAATACACCCAGTACTCTGAGTTAGCCTCAGACTGGACTGCCATTCAAATTTCTTGAGCTGTCTGGAAAGAGCATCAAGGACTGCACTGCATTTAGGCAGTGCCAAGAGTGGCAGATGGTACAGAGCGTGTGGGGAGGACTGGGGCTGCTGGAAGGGAGCCTGGAAAGGGTGAAACAGGTTGCAGGTGTCTTAGACATAGAAAGGAGTGTCTTGTCTGTGCTTGCACATGTCCTGAACATGCAGGATGAGAGACATGGGCTCTGCGTGCCCTGAGCCCTTAATGGGTACCAGAAGGTTTGTAGGGTGTCAGGGCATGAGCTACTCAGCTGCTGACTGGTCTGGGCAGCAGCATCTAGTCAAAAGCCAGGGGTCAAGACAACATCACATTGAGAGGTGTGAAATCTTGGACCTGTATCCGAGAGAGTGGTGTACTCGTGGGAGCTGGAAGGAAAACAGCCCCCGTTTAGCTTGCCACCAGCTCCTGGGTTCTGTGGTTAACCTGGTGCTTAAGGCAGAGCAGTGGCAGCCCTGTCCAACCTGACATGGTTGGACAACCTAGCCTCAAGCTGAACAGTGCTGCACAATGCACAGCAGCTTGTGCTTAGGGCAGCTCTGTGTGAGGGGAAAACAGTGAGATCCCAACATCTTCTCTGTTTGTCCTCTCTTTCCCCTCTGCCCCCAGAAATTGAGCCCCTTTTGGTATGGTAGATTTATCAAGATAGCAGCTAGCAATTTTGTCCCCAGACTAGTCCACTGCCACAGGGAACCTGCTTCTAAGAGCAGTCAGAAGTCCTTTGGGGTGCTCAGAGCGTGCAGAGCCTCTGCAGCATCATCAGACCATGAGCAGTTCAGTCAAGCTCCTGCTCTCCTGCCCTCCTGCCACTGTCAGACCCAGCTGTGCCCATTAGCAAAGCAGCAGTGCTGTGCAGAACTAAACTTGCTTGTCAAGAGATTAAGACTATCACTCTCCACAGTAAAGAAAGCAAGCAGCAGTAAGCCCTGCTTTGTCAAGAAATCAGCTGAAGTCAATGTAAACATCATAAAAGCATCCACAGCTGGCTTGTACTACCCTCCTCCAGGAGCTCTGGCCTCCTCTGAAAGGTGTCTGTAGAAGGCCACTAGCAGACCCATGTGAATCACCCCTCTCTGGCTCCTATAAGGGCTTTGGGAACCTATCCCTGTTATTCCACACCTCCCTGCAAATCTCCTCTGAAGGATTAAGCTCTTTCCCAACCATTGGAAATTCCAGTTCCAGATGCCTGACCTAAATGCACAGGCCCAGTCCAAAGGGAGTGGAGGGGGACATCACATTTGTTTCTCAATTGATTAAGAGACCAAATGAAACTGAGTCAGACAAATCCCTTGGTTTCCTCACACTCCACTCCCTTTGCTCTGGGGAGCTCCAGCATGCTGGGAGGGGAGATAACATTTGGCAACAGCAAAGAGGAGTGCGCAGGAGAAGAAATAGGGAAGTCCAACCCCCCAAAAATTGCTGTAAAATCTGACTCTCAAAGATGGGCTGGTGAGACTGGGAGGAAGTGGAAAATCATCGTGCCAGGAAGGCTCCATTTGGTAGCCGGGGAGCAGCAGAGCTGGTTGCTGCTGGTTGCAGGATGTCCCTGGTTGTGTTATCTCTTCCTGCCCAGCTGCCCAATGGATTTAGGAGGAGGATTTAGTCAGCCCATGGCCTCCACACTTCCATTTGCTGCCCCCTCTGAAAGAACTCCCTTGTTTTCAGCCCGAGTGTTTTCTCCTGCCAGAAAGTTGCTGCAACTGGTTCCGGCAGCCCCCTGCAAGACCACAGCAAGGGCACAGAGGGGTGCAGTGCAACACAAGCCGTGCCTTGACATGCCCCAGTGGCCACTGGCAACTGATTCTGACAGAGCAGCCCCCCAAGATGCTGAAATCCCTTCTCTAATATTGCTCTGATCAGTGCTGGGGCCAGCTCATAACCTGTCCTCAGATCAGGGAGCTATAATTAATTGGCTGCAGCCCCCCTGAGGATCCAGGCACAGCTCAGATCCTGGCCTTTGCAGTTTGACTTGAGGTTAACATTTATCTGACACTGCTGTAATTAGTTTTTCCCTAGTGCAAATCAAGACTCTTCGTGGTGCATGTTAAACAGAAAAGATATGAGGACAAAAGTATGTGGTTTTCCCGAAGTTTTGACTACTGTTGAGGCAAGTTTCTGTTGCCTGTTTACTTTGCTGTGGTATGAAGGCCCTGCCTCTGTGAGGAACCTACAGAACTGGAGCCATACATAAATCAAACCCAAGCAATGCAGAAAAAGTACAGTATGCATTTCTTCCATAAAAGTAAATAGTAAATAATCTACTAAGTTAATGGTTCACTGATGCAACTCAGCTCAAGAGGTGGAAAAAAACCTAGGGAGGTTTTATCTATGACCCTTGGCTTGGGTCTGAGATAACAGTTTTAACTGAAGAGCAAAGGTTAACTGTAATAGAAAATGTCTGCATTGCTACAGCTTACAAGTCACATTGTGATTTTTTTTTTTTTCTGTCAAAATGAAGACAAGTTCTTTAATTATGGCAACACAGCCATAAAAAGTCGATTGCAGAGAACTATTTTCAGTGTTTCTCAGGATACCATGGAAGAAGAAGACGAGAGCAGGCAGAAAGAGAAGATTCGGAGCAGGGGGGAAACTTCATATTCACTTGAAAATGTGAAGAGAAGCAATAGTCAGGAGAGCTCTCACTGATGGGAATAATATCCTTTTAGACAGAGCCAGACATGGTAAAATTCATGTCTTAAAAGTTGTGACGAGGTACTATGAGCTAGGTATTGTCCTACCAGGCAAGAGCATAAGCAAAGAAGCAAGATGCAAAAAATGAGGCAAATAGGAGAAACTCTTCAAACAGATGTTGCTCTCAGGCAGCACAAAAATGTAAAGGAGAGCAGGGCACAGTGCTTCAGCCCAGGGACAGCCTTCCAAAATGCAGCTGGGGGAAATACACACATCTCCCAGAAGAAAACCTAACAAATGCAGCAGAAGAGTGGAGGGGACTGCAATGGCTTTGTTGGACTGACAGCTGCTGACACCTTGGGACACGCTGAGGGGAGGGAAATGGACTCCTGGCAGCTACAAACAGCAGGTCCCTGCTCTTGACTGGTGATAGAATTCACCAGTGCTCAACCGGTCAGCCTGCACAGAAACACCGTGAAAATAAAACGACAGTGAGGGCAGCAAGAGAGACTGACAAGAACCAAAAAATAAAAAATAAATTGAATGCAGTCTGTCTCCACTGAGAGAAATTTTCATGTGGTTTTTCTGGCATTGTCTTTTGGAAAACACTGGGGGTTTGCTACCCTTTCAGCTTCTGGAGTTCTCACAAAACCTCCAAACCAGGTCTTTATTTATAATAGGAATTTTGAAACTATTTTTTGCATTCTTTTAGACTCATTCAATTCTTGACCCCAATTATATTGAATAATGTGGTTACGACTAACATAAATATAGTTCTGTCATAAATCAGGACATGTTTGCCTGGAGACAGCCCTTTTTTCTTCCCCTTGCTCATGTTCCTCAGCTGTCCAAATACATCCCCACGCTGCCTGGAACCTGCAGCACAGCCACTCTGCCACAGCTGGTGGGGGCAGAGGTGATGGGCTGCAGGCTTCTCTCCCTCTGTGCCCAGCCAGAAAGCCAGTGGGTGCTTCACTTTACACTGTGATGCTCCAAAGGCTGAAAGAAGATCATGTTCCTGGGAGAGGTATTTGATCTGCCTACCAGGGATGAGGGTTTTCTGTGTCAGTTTGATAAAGATTCAGTAGCTGGCTGGCTGGTTCCTTGGGGCACAATTCAGTCTTGGCTTAACTGGAGCAAACATCTTGTTGCATCTCTGTGCAGAGAATAAATGATTCCAGGAATGCAACTATAAGTGAATGTTCAAGGCTCTACGCAGAGGGGATCGTTAAAAAGACAACAATTGTCATCAGATATCAGCGATACCACATTTGATTAGAATAGGAAATAAAATCTTCACTCTGCTGGTGAATGCTGATCTTAACTGTCATGCTGCTCTGGGACATCAGGTGTCATATCAACACCAGGACAGCTAGGGGAATTAGGAGCCCAAGAAAGCACTTCCACAGTTCTGCCCTCCCCACCAAACAGAAGACTTGTCAGAAAGATTTTGCAACAAGTTATGCAAATATAAAGGGCAGCAAACTGATGGAGAAAAAAAGGACTCAGTCACCTTTACAGAACTAATTTCTCACCACGTCCCTTGTGACTCTTTTTTCATCTTCACCTCCTACTACCAGCTTATCAAAACAAACCCCTGAGTCATTCCAGAGCAAGAGGATCAGTTCAGCTTCTAACATTTTCAGGTTCCACTGGAATCCAAGAGCACCGGAGCGGTCCAAGGAAAACTCACTCTCAGGAGGTTCCCACCCCAGGTTCCCAGTTCACTGAAAGCCAGAGTGGATAAGCATTGGCAAGGCTTAATGAAACACCTACCTGCACTTACCATGCCAGTTCAGGATCTGCTCCTTCAAAAGTGTATTCATGTTTAAACTCCTGCTCAAGTCAGCAAGACAACAGTATGTCCCCAGAAAAGAATCCTTGGCACCTCATATAAGAGTTTTAAAAATACATATGAATTTTCAAATGCTACTGAAACACCACCAAGCCTCAAGCTGTCATTAGCAAACATCAGTCAGGTCAAAAAGAAGGGAGCTTAGCCTTCTGCCCATAATGGGATCTAGAACTGGAATTCCACCATTTGTACCAATTTCTCAGATGCCCACACAGTTTTGCCACTATCTGAGATATACATTTGCATAGTAAGCTGATGATGAATTTATCTGATTAGGAGCTGGATCAGGACTGAATTTGATGGTTTTATTTGATGCTTTCATTTTATTAGGACCGGGAAATTCTGCTTGATCCAGCAAAACTTACTCCAGCAACATGTTTGACAGAACTCACTGCCCGGAGATACAAAAGGCAATAAGCATTGGAGCCCCAGCAGCTTTTGGTGTGAATGCCCCATGCCAGTGTGCCTGGCAAGGCCAGATCTGCGCAGCAGGAACTGCTTCCACCTTCCCACACCACTCAAGCAAGTAAACAACCTCGGTGCTTCCTGCAAACAGAATGGTCTCCTCACAGAACGTGGTCACCTTCCTCTGCCAAGACTGTTGCCTTCAGCCCCCACCTTCACCAACAGCTCAGGGGCCAGAGCATCCACTCAGAACGGCAGTGTGGAAGGGAAACAGGTTCCATTCCCTCCTGTAACTGAGGGACATACCTGCTACCCCACAGACACTGGAGGAAGGGCTCTCTCAGCTTTGGTGGGAGCCCCTTTCAGCTTTGCTTTGAATCATTAAACAGCGGCTGAGCCAGAAAAGGGGGATGGTACAGGGGAAAAGGCTATTTCTCAACCTGAAGCTAAAAAAGATGAGGTGACCCGCAAGATATATGAACTCCTGCCTTGTCTGCATCCACAAGCTTAGGACTTTAGCTGTGGTTCAGTACTTACAAAGTCCACTACCACAAACTGTTCACTTCCCTTGATCCCTGACTGTGTAGTAATTACGGCTCTTTTCTGTGTATTCCCTGTTCGTGGATGTTGAACTCAGAGATTATTTACTCAGGGGCAGACTCTGATTCATTAACACAGAAGAGGAGCTAATTTGTGAATAGTACCACTGAGACTAACTGGACTTTCAGCTTTACTGCCCAACTCTACACTTTCTTTCATCAAATGGTTAACTGGGAGTAAAATACTAGAGGATTATTTTTATCCACTGGGGGGTTATTTCAAAATACCTCCATGCTTTCAGAACATTGAGTTTAGAAAGTTCACCCACTGGAGAGCAGTACATTGGCGTGAAGTGAAAGTTTGCAGCTCCACGTGGCCCCGGAAGCTCTGCAATACAGGCTGAAGTGCTGTATCATAGTTTTGCAATTAGATCCACAGTCTGAAAAAGAACTGAGATAAACAAAGAAGTAGTCCTCCGACAGTATGGCAAAGAAACATGAGAATTTATATGTAATTTGAGGACAATTGCTTCCCAGTCTTTGGTCATTACCCTGGGCTTGGCAGCAGGTGAAAGAGGGTGGAGTGAGAAAGCCATCTTTGGACACGTCATGGTAAGTCACACTGATGAAGATCTTATCATTGGAGTGAAATCCACCTCTTGGTACCTCAGGAAGCCTGCATGCATTCACAGTGCCAGAATCTAGTTCTTCACACTGTACTGAACTAACACTGAGCCAACATCAGCCCTGAGATGAGTTCAGTTGGTTAGAGCATGGTGTCAATACCACCAAGGTTGTGGGTCCCCTGTATGGGCCATTCACTTGAGAGCTGGATTCGATGATTCTTGTGGGTCCTTACAACTCAAACTATAGTGAAAAGTAAAAAAAGACCACACCAACATGGAGCTTCAAGCTGCACTGAGGGTTGCTGCTGCAAGGGGTAGGTTTGACTGTGTTATCTCCTACCTTGTGCAAGCACTAATCCCTGTGTGACTGCACTGGTAGCCAGATCTGGGAACGGATCCACATAAACATCAACCCAATATATTAGTTACCCCGTGTTCTCCACTCCATCCCACCAGCACAGGTGCTGAACACAGCTGGGGCAGTGCAACCAGTGAGACACCTTTCTCAGGAGCCCACACCTGAATTAGCACGGGGCAGTCATGGTGCTGCAGGCTAAGAAACTCTGCTGTCACGCTAACCTCGTGACGCAGCAGCCAGTGGGAATAAGATGACAGGGCAGGTGCTGAGTGGATATCCACATGGCACATATCTGATGTACAAGGGTTCAAATGGAAAATTAGGTTGCTCTTATATGCCATTGTGAAATTCTCCCGAGTGTTTCATAAACAAACATTTGCATCTTGGGCACCTTCTAACGTTTCTTCAGACACCATGTTGAGTAAACTGGATACATATGTTTTCTTTGTAAAGTTTCCAAACATAGTTGCCTCAACTCTTGGTTGGGTGTCGGTGGGAATCTAAGCTAGGTAAAAGACCTCAAGACGGGCCCCTTTGGGTAAAGGAATATTGTGGATTATTCATCCAAAAGATGTGGCGCGGTGCAATCGCCTGTTTTGCAACGGTAGGCATCGCACAGGTATCGATACTCCAGCACTGACTCTGCAAGCCCATCCCAGTGTGCGCAGGGGAAGAGCACAGCCTGTGCAACCTGCCACTGCCAGGCTCAGGACTGTGCCCTGCCACTGGCCCAGTAACACCTGCACACCCACTCTGAGTGAGCTGAGGCAGCAGCGCCTGCTGGCTGCCCCCACAGCACCCCAGAGCTTCACCCGTGCACAAACTCACCCAAACAGGAGCTTGCAAAGGGCCTCGCTTCTCCCCAGTACCTGCCCTGCAAGCATCACTGGAACCACCACGCTCTTCGGTCAGCAGAGGTGACTTCAGCTCTGTGCAGGACTGCACTCCAGACAGGGATCCTGTGATGCCCTTGGCTGGAAATGGATGGGACCCTGTACAGTCCATGTGTCACGGGCCACAGAATTGTCTCGTTCCTGACTCTTACATTTAGTTCCTCATTTTTTTGACCCTTTGAGTAGAGATCAAGAAGCAGCTGTATGACTCCAGGTGATTTCTATCCATATATGTATTGTGATGCAGGTTACCAGACCAGTCTGAAACTGTTGGCTCAGGTAATGGCAGACTGGTGCATAAACCCGTGGTGGAAAACAATGAGGAGGTTGCTCAGGGCTTGGCAGTTGGAACACAAGCCTTGGGTCAACTACAGAGCTGTAAATCTTGCTTCAGTGGGCTTAAGGAGAGTTGCATGGGAAAAATTTAAAGCCAAGATTGTCTCTTGCAGGATCTGCCTTGCAAGGGCAGGTTAAATATGCAAGCAGAAACAGTGTATTGTGGGTTTTTTTCCCACCTCTCTGAAATAATTTTATAGATATAGCACCAGATCCTCCTTTCTGGATGCATTTTCCATCTCAGGATGATTCTGTATCTACTCATTTAAAACCAGCAGGGAGCTGTGGCCTCACACCCACCTAACAGAGCAGGATTTGTTCTGTTGTCTTGTTGTTGAAATTGTGACTACCCTTCCTTCATACCCTTCCTTTGCCTGTGCAGATGCTGACCACAAGGAAAACCACAATGATAAAGCTGTTTTCTCTTATTAGTCCCTTTTTGTAAACAGCACTGGATGTGTGAGCACAGCTCCATGGTGTGTATTAAGGAATGGAAATCACCACTGCAAGCTGCAGTCCTAGTTAATAAACTTCTGTTTCTATAGCTGGCAAGGGAAATGTTACCTGGGTAAAGATGTATCTAGAAAAATCTTTGGGAATTTAGGGGCAAAAATGATGCAGAATCAGCTCTTTAATGTTCCTGTACTTACACTATTCTTGTTTGTTTGTTTGTTTTTTGCTTCGCTGGAGCATTTTTTTGTTTTCATCCCCCTTTTCTTTGCTTTATTGAGTTATTGACACTCAGATAAAATATTACAATATACCCAACACATCTAGAAAATAGGCCTGACTCATTAGACTGAGTCAATCTAACATATTTTCCAAATTATACTCATATAGTCTAATTTTAAACCATTTTAATGTATTTTTAAAATGTTTCATATTTTGGCAGAAAAAAAGGGCAGCTAGCAATGGCAGAATAAAGATCCAGCTGGCAAGGAGATAGAAAGGAGAAAACAATTTTGAGAAATACATTGTAAATGGCAAGGAAATAAATATCTACTATAGTGAAAGCAAATGGATTTTAAATAACTCTGCTAAATTGTTTATGTATCTTTTTAAATAAAAATAATTAGCCATCTTACAAAACCAAAACCTTCTTAAATACAATGTACTTACAGAGGCTCTTGAGTGGAAAAGCTTTCTACTGCTCTGGCTTGTAAAAACAGCACACACACACAAAATCCTTCTCTCTAAAACCACATACTAACAAATGTAATTTGTTCTCATACTGCTCTGCACAATTACTAGCTAGTAACTTTCTGCTTATTATTTATTAGCTGCCCTAAATAGAGATATGCAAAAAAAAAAAGAAGACCAAGAACCCAGCAATCCCTTACCTCTCACTGTCAGAGATATGTGTTGGACTGATGAGCTGTCCTTACTCAAAGGAAAAATATGGATGCTTCCAGAGATGCCTGTGACAGAAGCAACAAGAAGCAATCATCATAAAATGGCTTTTTAATTTTATTTGGGTTTTTTTGCTCCTGAAAAGGATATATTAAGAACAAGTATGATCCCTCCATTTGGTCTTTCTGCAGAAAAGTACAGCAACAGAGACAAGAAAAAAGGTTGAAAACCAAAGTAGCACCAAGGAGACGATTTTAGCCGTTCAAATTTTCTACAATTCCAACATGTCACTCCAAAAGTACTGCGGTGTGCTCACAAAAAAAATAAAAAAATAAAAAAAAACTACAAAAAAACAAATCAGAGGGTTAAAGAGATACAGCATTACAATTGACAAGATATTAATATTGTTTGGTGTGGGTTTTTTTTCTTCATGATTCTGCCAAAACCAACCTATAACCACAGTATTCAATTTTTCAAGTGCATGTGCCCGAGGCAAGGCAAATTTTTGCACCTACACACGTGGGCTTTTTCCAGGCATGTATGTGGCTGTTGTGAGTGCTATTATCCTTCATTAAAAGTGATAGATCTTCAAGATAAATAGGTATGAATTACCATTCCCCAGCTGAGTCTGGATCTATTACGTAAGAAGTCACTCAGTTTCTATAGTTCAGCTTTATAAACATAAAGTTATATGTTCTTTCTCAATGTCTCTCATCACATTATAATTTCTCTTTACCTGGAATCCCTTATAATTTTTCAGAAACCAAAACAGTGCTCTTACTAAATAGTAGCCAAGTAATGAGAATACATGCATTATACTGCTCAACAAAATCTAACTTAGTTCCAAAACAGAACGTTTTTCCTTAGAAAATACTAGAGGTGTAATTACAGGCTCATGCAAGTTTGTTTTTCAGTAAAGGTAAGGTAGAATTTTCCTTCATTGAGGAAAAAAAAAAAAAATCAGTAGTCTCTTGTTTTGAGAATTGTTGTCTGAGGTGATGACAGGTCACCTAGATGCACCAAAATGCTGGATACACACAACAATGAACCAGAATTACATGGTTTAATCAGACATTAAACAGATTTAGTCAAATTTTCACAGAAGTGGCAGTTCAATGATCTCCCTTTTACTTTCCATGCACAGCTCACCTCTCAACCAGCTCCTTCCTTTACTTGTTGGCTGGCCTGAAAGCTTAAAGCAAAGCTACTTAAATGGCCGTGTTAGTGTGGCTCAGTGTTCTGCAGATAATCCCAATCCTTAGGAATGAAACCAGTACAGTGAAAGGTGGCAGGCAGGAAAGACACAGGAAATAGTATCTTTAGAGTATTTGCAGTGCAGAGAAGCTGCCTTAGCTCTTCTATATTTATCCAAAGGTGAAGTGCTCTGGTGGAAACCTCTGGCCCATGAGGGTTTTGGGGGTTTGGTTGGAGGGGTGTCCGTGTGCAGCAGGCAAGCAACTGGCTGCTGACACCCCTGCTCACAGTGCAAAGGACATCCTTCTGGCATACAATGGCTCAACTGGAGTTGGACTCGATGATCCTTGTGGGCCCCTTCCAACTCGGCATATTGTGTGATTCTGTGAGTTATGGCTCTGCCTCCAGATGTTCATTTCCACAGCCACGGCAAAATCTGCTTTCTCAGAGCCCTGGCTGAGTTTGCCATGTGGGGAGTTGGGACTGGCTGGAACGGAGATGTTCCGTTTCCAGCAAAATAATTTCAGCGTTTGAAATTTGCCTTCAGCACAATACAGAAGAAAAACAAAACCTCTCAAATATCCTGGGAGACCGAGCCCTGCATCCCCAACTCAATAGTCAGCAGGTTCAAGTCCCTACTCTGAACCAGGAAAACACTGGCTTGAATCAGGATCTCCCACATCTCGGATGAGTGTCCTAACCACTAAGCTTGGGTGGAGCTCTTCCTCTTGCTTTACCCCACCCTGCATCTGATGACACTTTTACGGGCACAGATATATTTGTGTGAAGAAGGAAAAAACAAAAACCAACAACTCTGATATGAAAAAATCACTTCTGGATATTTAGAATTTGTCAGAATCTGCGTTTATTCACCCGTTTTGAAAAATGGGTAAGAACATCATGCTTATCCTTTTTGAAGGGCTCCATTAGCAGACAGATACAAGATAGGACTATTCTGCAGTAGGGGAACAGGATTTGACAAGTGGAAGAGGGAAATACACACATTTCCAAGTGCTCTGCAGAACTCACCGAGCAGCAACCAGGGCAAGAGGACAAAGAGATGATGCCTAAGGTTTAAACAGAATAATACACCATCCCAACACTCTTTCAGCCATGAAAAAGGCACTGTAAGACCAAGGATATACATACGGAGGCTCCTTTGAGCATCCCTGAGCCATGGAGAGCAGGGAAAAGTGTAAACTGTATCTCCTCCTTTCAGGCCAGCTCCGTGAGGGCAGCACCCACTGGGCAGATGAGGATGCCAAGCATTTCAGCCGGTGAATTAACCCAGAATTAACCCAGAGCCCTCCTGCCCCACAACAGCTAGATCCTGTTATTTCTAGGGCAGAGGTTGAGCGTGCTGACTATGGTCCCACTCCTAATTTTTTCCCATGAAAGCTCAGTGAGAAGGCTGCTGTGAAAACAGCTTCAGTTCCAGCAATGCTGCTTGCTTTCCTCTTCAGCAAGTGTGAAACATAACTGAGTTATACCAGTTTGGGGGTGAGGGGAGGGAATTACAAAATTGTCTGACAAATTGCCACAGATTTCCCCAGGGACCAGCCCCTTCTCCTGGGTGACTGAACGGTTTTGCTTAGCGCTCAGTCACACAGACCCTATTCTGTTTATGATTTCCTTTTTCTGAGAGGTCTCTTAACTGTTCCATGGATTATTATTTCCCCTCTATTTCTCTCTATTAACTTTGAATATTTATTTACCTTTTTAACTGCTCTGAACCCTTAAGCTGACGCTGTTACAGAATTAGTTAATAAAACCTCCACATCTCTACATGAGTGCTGGTAACCAGCTCAGAACCAGTGAAGCTGATGTCTTTTTCTTTTGAATGTCACTACACACTGAGGCCAAAAAGGCTTTGCTAGTGCACTGGAGCACAGAATGTATCACATGAA